CAAAGAACTATAGCTAATGGAAGACTTCCTGGTTTGTTTGCCAGTTCATGAAAAGAGTAAAGGCATCCTCATGTTTAGTTTAGGTTATTAAACTGAAATACAATGATCCAAACATAGCAATATCATCTAACCACTGTTTCAGGTCAATTAAGTTCTGAAGCACAAGAGTTGTCTTTATGCCTTGGCACAATACATTGGCTCCCAGGCAATGAATGGAGCTATTAGCCAACATAAACATGCATTCTCCATAATTTACTAATGGTGCTTCTTCTGAAGCGTCTGAGGCCAAAGGAAACATTTACTTTGAAAAATAGGAGCCATGGTTCTAGAGGTTTTCCAAAACACAAGCATATACAAGCTGCTAGCCTTCCCTAACATGGGTCCCTCCAGCTGTTATGGACCACAGCTTCCAACAGAAACAGACCATGGGAGTTCCATGCACAAAATAACTGAAGGGACTCAGTTTCACAAATAATTTTCCCCAAGAATCCAGGAATAATATATCATTGTTTAAAATAATGAAACTTTCCTTGTATGAGAACCTTCAGTATGCCATTATTTAAAACATTCTATCAAAAAGTTTCAAGATTTGTCACACTTCAGATAATCCAATATATCTAAACAGGTTTTAAAAAATGTCAAGATCATTCTACAAAAGAACTTGAACCCTGACTACCAATCAACCAACATACACAAAATAGTTTTGCATAAACAACTTCCAAGTTTTATTTATTAAACAAGTATTTTCTGTACAAACTACACTATAATTCAGCTACACCTTGCAACTTAGTATTTCTGCAAATTATAGTATGTAAACTTTGTAAAAATGGTCCCACATAATACATCAAAAGTACATTTTTTAAAAGCCATGTTTAACAGCTGGTCCCTTGGCAATGAAAAGGCTTGGGAAATTTACTCTGAAAATTATGTTGGAGTATTTATTTATCTATTTATTTATTCAGTTTTGGCACTGCCTGACTCTAGACCAACTCTATTAACCCACGAAACACATCAGCACAACTATTAAAGGAGATGAGATCTGTCAGCCAGACAACTCCATAGTTCAAAAGTGAGTGCCGTGTCCCACCCTTTAAGGGCTTGGACTTTAAGAAATTATTACTAAGAGGTTGTTTGGGGTCTTCTAAAACAATGTTAATAAAAATATATGCTGGATTTTTAGACTTTGTTCCGTTATATTAGACTTTAAAACACAACCATGCTCCATTCACAACTCCGTATCAAGATGCTCAAAGGAGTGACAATTGAGAAATTAAACTGGCAAAATAATAAATTAAGTGTTGGTGCTGCTCACAGACTAGCAGAAAGTATGCAAAAATGTTCAGACATACAGTTCTCTAAGATGTATAGCAGTGTCTTCTTGAAACAGTTCGATAAAAGGCCAATTATTTTGGATGTGGATTTGGAACTCAGCATCTGTTTACACTAGGCTTGTTTTTAACAGCTTGTCTGCTAGCCCACAAGCAAACAGGAATTCCATGGTGATGAGTGACAGGGCTGGTGGAGGAGAGATTCTTCCAGCCATCCACTTGTTTCCATGATAGCCATAAAGGAAAGAGAAGTCTTTACACTCTGGCCAACAGAGAAATATCAGCTTACTACTACACTGACTAGCAATAATTCCTAAACGCTATAGATTGGAATCCCACACTGCCTAAGAAATAGTTTTAAACAAAATTTGCTGAATAAACCACAATGGTAGGATTCAAGCAATACTGTATAGCAAGCCATAAACCATAGTTTATAAAACAATGTGATTGTGGTCATACAACACGCTAAACCAAAACCAAACAAACCACATCTTAGTTTAGTATTATATTCTGATCTAGATTAAAAAACAGCAAGCACCATAATGCCAAATCCCAAGCAGGCCTTCTTAGAGATAATTCACTGAGATAACTTGTATAAATTTTCCTGTAAGACACTTTTGGATTGTAAACTTAATACAATATTCTCTATCTAGGAAGAAAAAGCAATGTATCCTTCCTTTCTCAGACGTATGCTCCCTAGATGACAACTGTATTCTGCTGGGCGTACTGTAATACAACCAGTACAGTATGGCCACCTCAAAACTGAAACTCTCACTCTTCTCTGGAGCATTTAGTAAAAATTTCCAAGCATTAAGGAGAGAGAAAAGGGAGGAGGGAGTTTCAGAAGAAGCAGGGCTGCTGCCACAGAGGATAGGTGCACACCTAAAAGGTAAATAAACTATTTTGGAATTTTACAATCCTACATCATTCCACAGACTTTGCTTGTTTCATAGCAGACATCAGGACAAATATGCAGAATAAGTAGTTAAATATGGCCCAGAAGCAAGCTGCTACAACATATAACAGAATGATGGAGGCATCAAGGTACAGGCCACCTTTCCACAAAACAAGGTGAATTGTTCAATTAAATTCCTGTGCTTCCTTAATACTTTTCTTTAATCATACCCTATTAATATTTAGGATTAATTGCCACAGTACAGGAAATTAACCAGCAGAGAAGAAAAACAGCATGGCAGTTAAGTGTTTTAGCCAGGAGATCTGGATTCAAAATTCTGCTGACTCGTGAATCATAGGGCTATTTCTCAAGCCAATCTACCTCACAAGACTGTAACACTGGGGGTAAAACGAGATAAGCCTGACATACAAAATCTAGTTCCCCGCAGAAGGTCAGAATCTTAGGTTTCCAGAAATACTGAACTGTTTAACTTAAATAGGACAGTAAATGTAACAAGAGCCAGGACAGACACCCTCTTGAGCAGTGTTGTCCAAACTTGGTCACTTTAAGATGAGTGGATTTCAATTCCCAGAATTCCCCAGCCAGCATGGCTGGCTGGGAAATTCTGGGAGTTGAAGTCCACTCATCTTAAAGTGGCCAAGTTTGGACATCACTGCTCTTGAGCATCATTCCCTGCTCCAGCAAAGAGATAGGCAGAGAAGACTTGAGGAAGGCAGAATACAAATCTAACGAAGAAATAAACATTCCCCCAAAATTGCAAACAGGATTACACAGTAATATTTGCCATACACATAATTCAATTAGACAATTACTATCTTGGCAATTCATTCACTTCATTCTTGGATTTCAAATCTATCAAGACTCAAAGAATCTGCAACCTTTAAAACTGCCACCATAATTGACATACACAGAAAAATCATTCAGAGATCAATGGTGCTTTAAAAATTAAGGAGACATTAGTCATCATTTTGAAATAACTATTGGAAATATAATTTAACCTAGTAGAAAGAGTCCTACACAAATAAGGATTGGCATAGAGCTCTTCCTGAATTCTTTAGAACAGCACATTCAACCGTGGTTTCCCAAAGTGAAACTCTACAAAGGAAACGGGATCCATAACAGCTAAGAATGGGTCTATTGTAAATATTTCAAACTGCTTCAGCAGAATGACATCATGCATGTCAACTATATGTACACTCAAGCCCTAGCTTGCTAAATTCTCTACAGTAAATACATCCTTCACTATCAAAATTCTTAATGGTCACATTGCTGCCCAACAGGTTGCCCAATACTATTCTTACTCAACATAAAAGCGAGCTGAGTCTAGGAGCCAATTGTTCGTCATCCAACAAGCTTGGGCTCCAAAAGGATTTGAGTAGCTTTTCAACTCCCTTCTGTGGACACTTCGCTGTCAACCTAATTGTTACAGACCATTACACCACTTCTACTGGAATTATATCTAGGGATCATCAAGCAAATACAACACTCAAACTTTCTTCTGTTGCTACCATATCATACTCCCAATTTTCTCCGCTTCCTACTTCTGACAGCAACTGTGTTTTAGGACTAGTTAAAGGAATTCAAGTGCAGCACTTTGGATCTGAAGTGCTTCAGCTGCATGCCACTGTTAATGTAGCACCATCCGTACTCTTTAAATCAGCTGCATCTTTTCCCAGGATCACATGATTGCCCTCTGCAGCTGCTATGTGATCTCAGGAAAAGTCATGGCTGATAAAGAGTTGCAGGCAGGTGCTACATTCATGCTCCAAAACACCTGGATCTGAAGCAATACACAGCCGTATACTTATTGCCACCATTATAACTATTAAGTAACATTAACAAGGATACCAAACAAAGACTAAGGGCAGAGAAGGACAGGGCAAAGTATGTTTATCACACCATTAAAAGCATGTTATGTAGAAAATAAACCTACATCTTTAACTTGGCTGGTAACCAAGGACTAACCTAAAATTATAAATGCAGTTTCAGCTGAGTCCTGTTGAGGAAAGATTGTAACAGCAAACACAGAATATGTTTTCTTACATTATGCAAGTTAGTAGCTCAGAGAAAACTGAAAAGTCAGAGCCCATCTTGAACAATAACATAACTCAAAAATATCAAGTAACAAATATTATATCTGTGAATAGTATATTCTTTTAAAATATACACAAATACTAATAGTAAGGACACCTTTGGGTCAAGCTTGGCTTTTGATACATGGACACAAAGATTAGGTATTCTTGGCAATAATATCAAAATTATGTGAGATGGGTGGCTATATAAATATGATAAATAAAATAAAAATTATTTGCAATTGCCATCTTGATTTCCCAGTGTAGTCTATAGCAACAACCAGCCCACAGCAGTGACAATTATGCACTATATAAATTTAGCCCTTATGCCATCCTTTAAAAAAAAACTCCAAACATTCTAAATTTACAATTTATATACATACATACATACATAGATGTCCAGGCTGCCTATCACTTATATATCACCTTAGAGAATTTATATATGCATTCTCAAAAATCCTTTCAACAACCTTGCAAGGTAGCACTGCATTATAATCTTGACATTGCAGATGGGATAATCTGATAAAGATAGGGTCTTGATACAAAGTCAGTTTCTGAACCAAGAACCGAACTGGAAAACTCTAGTACATAGTTCACAAGTTATGTTTCTAAGCAGCAACTTCAAGGTAGACTTGAGTATTGTTCATTACCACTAGCAAGATTCAGCAAACATGCACTTCTTACCTTATCTTTTTCATGTGGAAGGAGTGATACTGGAGGAAGACAAGAAAGAGACTCGCAGCTCTCTTTCCCATCTGCATTTGTGGCTGCTTTAGTATTGAGTTGATACAAAGGTCCATCCTTAAGGAGTCGGCCATGGCCAACAGCACGCTTAACAGCCAACCGCAACTGCTGGTGAAAGGTAGAAGGAGCACTGCTGGCAAACAAAGCTGACACATCCTTCTGCCCTTTCAAGTAACGTTCAATGTTCTTCAAGGATGAGCCAGTGGATTCTGCCAAGCCCTCAATTGCCCGTTTAATCAGTTTATTCCAGTCCACATTTGGTTTACCATCCAACTTTCCATGGTTCCGAGGTTTAGGAAGTGCTATTCGCCCAGGGTTATCTGGATCCTTATAGGAGTTAAGTCCTTTATTGGAAACTTTTAAAATAGTTCCATCTTTAACACTCAGTTCCAACTGTTCCAGAACAGTTTTGCGATCCAAACCATGGGATGAAGACACAGCATTGCATATCCTCTCTTCTGATGGCCGTTGTTTTTGCTTCTTGACCTTTTTAATTGCCTCCAAAATCCACTCAGTGTACAGCGGGTTAGCGAGTTTTACCATGGTGAAAAATTCTTTATATCCATAGAGTCGTTATCCCTTATCCCTATGCTGAAGGAGTTTCGCACAACGGGAAAACAGATGATCGGAGAATGAGGACCAGTTAATCATAGCATACACGTTTTTGGCCCCAAATTGCTCTTCTTTTTTCAAACATGAGTATTTCCTACTTCTGGTTCATGTTTTCCAATACCCCCCCTCCAAACAACTGATGAAAAAAATGTATCACACAGGTAAAAAGATTTCAATACATTTCATTCCACTGCTTTATATTCCCAGTTTGACAGGCAAACTGTGCACCTGCAAGAAAAGCAAAAAACATAGTTTAGTAACTTTTATCAGACTTCATGAAAATACCGAACGATTTGTTATCTCACAGCAGCCCTGTTTAAAAACAAAAAAAAACAAAATTACATCCAAGAATACTTGGCCTACAACTGAAACTGAAAGCAATTACAAAACTGGTATTTTAAACAGCGATGCATCAGCCCTCTTTTTCAGCAACTCTGAACTCTTGGCAGCCAGATGCCATTCATCAAGACCAGGCACTCCAAATCTGCACAACGGGGGCAAACTTCTCCAAAACACCCGGAGAAACAGCCACAGGACAAACCAACTCCTTCTACCCACATGCCAAGCAGACTCGAAAATCAGCCCCAGACTGCAACCTGGACAAGTGTCACCATCCACATTGCTGGAGAGCGAATAAATCGGGGCCACCCAGCTGGCAACTTTCTAAACTCTCGTCCTGAATTGGAGAATAGAGGGAGAATCGCAAGACGCGGAGCCTGGTCGGAACTGTCGCAACTCCTCCAGGCGGCCCCGCGTTTCCTACGCGGGGAGAAGCCAGGAGGCTCTCTCGGAACTAACTTTCCCTGGGAAACTTTCCGT